AATCAGGAACAAAAACAGAAATTGCTGGAAAAGCTCAGCAGGCCTGGCAGCATCTGTGAAGGAAAAATCAGAGTTAATGTTTTGGGTCCGGTGACCCTTCCTCAGAACCTACCTAGAATCTATCTCAGCCTTCAACAAACACAAGGTCTCTGCGTCCACAGCTTTCTGTGGCAAGGAGCTCCAAAGACTCTCAACCCTCTGAAGAAATTCATCCTCACCTCTGTCTTAAATTTGTGCCCCTTCATTCTTAGGCTATGCCCTTTGTTACTAACCTCTCCCATGAGGGGGAATCATCCTCTCAGCATTTACCCTGTCAAGCCCTTTAAGGAACCTATATGCTTGAATGAGATCACCCCTCATTCCTCTAAATTCCGGTGCCAACCTGTTTAACATTTCCACGCCAGAATTTGTCCAAATAAACCTTCCCTGAGCTGCCTCAGTGGTCAGGGGACAGTTAAGACAATTGGAAACAAGTTAATGTGCCACCAACATTCAAAGTGGCTGACAAAACAGATGAAAGGAAATTCCTGAACCATTAGCTCCAGTTCCACTCCTTGTAAAATAACAGATGAAGTTTGTTGTGATTGTGATGAGGTCAACCACCTCGTAGAATGAGTTCCCTGATTGGACCAGATTAACAGCCCCAATCAGGGAGCCCTGGCTGACACAAAAGATTCTAAGGGACAAGATCTATGAGCATTTGGAAATAAATGGACTGATTAGCAATAAATAGCATGGTTCTGCGCAGGGGAGATCATGCCTCTCTAATTTGATTGAGTTTTTTGAGGAGGTGACGAAGATGATTGATGAGGGAAAAACAGTTGACGTTGTCTATATGGACTTCAGTAAAGCCTTTGACAAGGTCTCCTCATGGCACACTGGGACAAAAGGTGAAGTCACATGGTATCAGGGGTGAGCTGGGAAGATGGATACAGAACTGGCTTAGTCATAGGAGACAGAGGGTAGTGGTGGAAGGATGCTTTTCCGAATGGGGAATTGTGACAGTGGTGTTCCACAGGGTTCGTGCTGGGACCTCTGCTGTTCATGGTCTACATAAATGATTTGGAGGGAAACATGGCTGGTCTAATAAATACATTTGCGGAAGATATAAAGATCGGTGGAGTTTTGGATAGTGAGGAGGTTTGCCAGAGGATACAGCAGGAGGTATGCGCAGAAAAGTGGCAGATGGAGTTTTATCCAGACAAATGAGGTGATGCATTTTGGAAGGTTAAGTATACGTGGAAATTATACAGTGAATGGCAGAACCTTTAGCAGTATTGATATGCAGTGGGATCTGGGTGTGCAGGTCCACGGATCACTGAAGGTGGCAGCGCAGGTAGATAAAGTAGTAAAAAAGGCCTATGGCATGCTTGCCTTCATTGGAAGGGGCACTGAATATGAGTACAGACGAGTTATGCTGCAGCTTTATAGAACTTTAGATAGACCATGCTTGGAATATTGTGTACAGTTCTGGTCACCACACTACCAGAAGGACATGAATACTTTGGAGAGGGTACGGAAAAGGTTTACTAGGAAGTTGCCTGGTATGGGGGATTTTAGCTATGAAGTAAGGTTGGATAGACTGGGTTTATTTTCACTGGAACGTAAGAGGTTGAGGGACAACCTGATAGACGTTTATAACATTGTGAATGGCATGGATAGAGTGGAAAGAATGAGGAATTTTTCCCAGGGTGGAGGGGTCAATTACTCAAGGACACAGGTTCAAGGTGCAGGGGGAGAAGTCTAAGAGATGTGAGAAGCAAGTTCTTCACACAAAGGGTGGGGAGTGCCTGCAACACACTGCCAGAGGTGGTGGTGGAAGCAGACACAATAGCAGCTTTCAAGAAACACCTGGACAACTACATGAATAGGAAGGGAATAGAGGGATACAGATCCTGAAATGAAGACAGTTTTAGTATGGAAGGGCAAAACGTGTTTGAACAGGCTTGGAGGGTCGAAGGGTCTGTTCCTGTGCTGTATTGTTCTTTGTTCTAAACGGGTGAGTGTCGGGGATATCAGGTCTCTGTATGCCTGACTCAGAGAGAGACTGGGCTATTGTTAAAAGCTATGCATTTGCAAATAAAGGGTCAAAAACAAAGCTGCTGGAAAAGCTCAGCAGGTCTCAGAGAAAGGGTCACCGGACCCGAAACGTTAACTCTGTTTTCTCCTCCACAGATGTTGCCAGACCTGCTGAGCTTTTCCAGCAACTTTGTTTTTGTTTGTGTTGGAAAAACCCATTTGGCTCGCTAATGCCCTTTAGGGAAGGAAACTGCTATCCTTACCTGGTCTGGCCTACATGTGACTCCAGACCCACAGCGAAGGGGTTGACTCTGAACTGTCCTCTGGGCAATAAAGGATGGGCAATAAATGCTGCTTAGCCTGTGATGCCCTCATCCCGTTAATGAATAAAGGGAAAAGAAATTACAAGTTAACTTATTGCAGACGAAAGCAAAATACTGGAAATCTGAAATAAAAGCACAAAGTAGTGAAGAAACTCAGCAGGTCTGACAATATCTGTAGACAGTGAAACAGTTGATGTTGAACCTAGTAGGATTCTTCTTCAGAACACATTCAGGGTTAGGGTTAGGACCTGAACTGGTTCTGAAGATAACTTAGACCATACTTAATGTTGACAGTCTCTGAAGAAGGGTCTAGGTCCGAAATGTCAGCCTTCCTGCTCCTCTGATGCTGCTTGGCCTGCTGTGTTCATCTAGCCAACGTAATCAGCCTGGTTATAGTCTCTTCCGCCCACTTCCTTCCGGTACAAGATACAAAACGTTTGAAAGCACGTGCCAACAGATTCAAGAACGGCTTCTTCTGCTCTGCTATCTGACTGATGAACACACCTCTCATGAATTAGAGTTGATCATTCTCTGCAACTGTAACGCTACATTCTGCATTCTGTTCTGTTACCCTGATGTATTTATGTAAGTTTTCATTTGCCTGTATAGCATACACAATACTTTGCACTGTGTCTCGTGTGACAATAATAAACCAGATATAATCGAAGGCCTACTGAGTTTCTCAAGCGTGTTTCGTCTATTGCCTATAGATAGGTAAAGCAAAAGGGTACCGATTCTCCAGGAATAATTTTTGAAATAGACAAGGATGCATGTAAAGGCATCTCACCTAACCCGATTCTCAACAGGTCCAAACAATAAAGAGGAAGTTATCAACAAAACCAACGAAACGTTGAGAATGTGATCAAAGCAGCAGAATATAAATCAAGGGATGGGATAAATCAAAGTATATACTGTTCTAGTCTGGTCTTCAACAAACAAGATTTTGAGGCATAGGAAGCAGTGCAAAGCCAAGAGGCTGTAACCCTTGTTTAGGTGGGTAGGTGGCGTGGGTAGGAAAAAGGTGGAAAGGTGGTCTCAGCTATAAAGAAAAACTGGTGAAACATGGGCTTTTCCAGCCTGGACAGTTGGTGGTAGAAATGTGGGCTCTTAGGGGGATACGTATTAGGGCAAATATATCAAGAACATTACATTAGTGTAAGATAACAGTTTGAGAGTTGGACAATGTCCAAACAAGAAAAAAGTCACAATTTTCGGAAACAATTCTTTGTTATTTGAAGTGTGATGAACCCTTGGAGTGGATTTCCAGATAGGTAAAGAATCTGGAATAACTCAGTCATCAAATGTCACTTGGAGGGGGTTAGGATCTCTCTACAGGATGCATCAAAGTGGGCTGAATGGCCATTTACCTTGGAAAACTCTAATCCACTCTTGCCCCAATCACTTAGTTGAAAAACAAAATCAAAGAACTGCAGACTCTGGAAATTGGAAACAAAATCTAAAATTGCTGGAAAAACTCAGCAGGTCTGGAAGCAACTGTGGAGCGAAAGCAGAGTTTCGAGTCCTTTCAGAACTGAAGAAGGGTCACTGGACCCAAAACACTAACTCTGCTTTCTCTCCCCTTTTTTTGACATATTGGTTGCTATTTGAGACAATAGCTTTCAAATTACCAATGGCAGTATTAGCAAGTCAATGTTAAAAACATTTTTCAGGTGTATGTCTGCTCCTTCAGTGCAGGTGATGACCTACAATACTAAATAGGTGATACCTCTGCTCAAAAAATAGACAAAAGACCGTGTGATATTTTCACCCTTTAAACAATTGCTGGATCCGAATCCCTCGATGTTTGTGACTCAGTGCCAGCGATTTGCGATCAAAAAGAAATCAGCCAAAAGAGAAAGATAACAGGGAGCTTGAAAATAGATTATGAGCTGGAAACTGGACTTCGAAAACTTGCTCTGTAAGATGATTTGTGAAAGCATAAAGTGGGGAAGAGCATATTACACATCCAACAGTGGGGCAGCACGGTGGCTCAGTGGTTAGCACTGCTGCCTCACAGCAGCAGGGACCCGGGTTCGATTCCAGCCTCGGGCAACTGTCTGTGTGGAGTTTGCACATTCTCCCCATGTCTGCATGGGTTTCCTCCGGGTGCTCCGGTTTCCTCCCACAATCCAAAGATGTGCAGGTTGGGGTGGACTGGCCATGCTAAATTGCCCGTAGCGTTCAGGGATGTGTAGGCTAGGTGGGTTAGACATGGGAAAATGCAGGGGTAGGGGAATGAGTCTGGATGGGATGCTCTTTGGAGGGGTGGTGTGGACTTGCTGGGCCGAATGACCTGTATGCACACTGTAGGGGTTCTGTGAACAGGGTGGAGGGGTGTGTCTGGGTGGGTTGTTCCTCAAAGTGTTGACACTGTAGGAACCCTATCGGGCACGGGTTGGGGGGCAGGAGGTCATTTGGGGTGCTGGAAAAGGCAGAAGGAATTTCTCATTGCAAGGCAGTTTATTAAAACCTAGCTGACGTGTTGCTGGGTGGAGAGAAAGGTGGGGTCATGGCCGAGCCTAGATCTCGGAAGTTCAGCACTTTTGTTGCAGTAACGCTCTGCTGCCATCGGTGGATTGACAAAAGACGCATTTTGATTTGGCAGCTCTTACCCCTCCCCCCCACGCCCCCCACCCCCAGCCCCCACCGAGTGCTTACTAGGTCAGGACGATGGCAACTGCGTCATTGAGAACGCTCTCCCCAAACAGCAGCGTGTAGAGTTGTACATCTACGTTGAGCTCGTGGAAGATGGCGAGCACGGTCACTGTGTGCGGGGAAAAATAAGACACTCTTTTATTCAAACATTACAGGGATGGGGAGGCCGTGATGTGTCACATTAACTGAAAACCAAAACCCAAAAAACCCACCTTAATCTAAGCCCCATGTTGTCAACCACATTGCTGTGGGTCTGGAGACACATGTTGGCCAGACCAGGTAAGGACAGCAGTTTCCTCCCCTAAAGGACATTAGTGAACCAGATGGGTTTTTCCAACAATCAACAATGGTTTCACGGTCATATTAGATTCTTAATTCCAGATATTTATTGAATCCAAATTCCACCATCTGCCATGGCGGGATTCAAACCCAGGTCCCCAGAATGTTATTTGGGTCTCTGCATTAGCAGTCAAGCGATAATACCGCTAGGCCATCGCCTTCCCTGATGATTTGAGACTAGGGTTCTGCTGTGGTTCACGGCTCCCCACCCCCCAAACCCCTTCCATTTACAGAAGAGACCCAGGTGTGCAAAATTGTCAGGGTTGGCAAAGGGGGAGCTTAGAACTTTTCACCCTCACAATGAAGCTGGTGAGGGTTGGGAGTGCTGTGTGCTGGATTGCCATCCATGTCCTTATCATGCACCAGCAAAAACTGCCAGAGTGGGAACAGGGCAAGGAATCCCTGAATTAGAAACATAGAAAATAAGAGGAGTAGGTTATTCAGCCCTTTGAGCCTGCTTCCCCATTCAATACGATCATAGCTGAACGTCCAACTCAGTTCTCCATTTCCCACTTTCTCCCCATACCCTTTGATCCCTTTAGCCTCATGAACTATATCTAACTCCTTCTTAAAATATTCAGGGTATTGGCCTCAACCACTTTCTGTGGCAGAGATTTCCACAGGCTCACCACTATCTGGGTGAAAACATTTCTCCGCATCTCAGTCCTAAATGGTCGATCCTGTATCCTTAGACAGTGACCCCTGGTTCTGGACTCCTGGGTCATCGGGAATGTGATGGATGATCACATGGTAACGATCACAAGTTGGCTTTGCATGGCAAAGGCTTGGGCCTCTATACTTCCAGCACTAGAATCTCATGTCTTACTTCACTTGTAACAGGGACGTTTATATTTTCAAAGACAACCAGTGGCAACCAGTGGGATTGTGGCTGCTCAAGAACTGTGTGCCCCTCGGCATCAATGAGCTTACCCCACAAAATAATGTCAGATCAAGTTCACATGATTTTTACTCTTAGTGTTAATGCACATGGCCCCCTGGGGCAGTCAATGAGTTTGATGGTGTCAGCAATGTAAACAACTGCTGGTTACAGTGATCAGCGGGCCTAAGGGGAGGAAAGGGAGAGGGTCGCATTATCCTGTCCACCTGCCACTGATCAAACCCCTCCATCAGAATTCTGGGAATCTAGGCATGGACAAACCTGGGGGCCTGAGCAGTGGAAAACATGATCAATGTAGTAATAATGAACGCAGTGGATGTACCTTAGGTGGATGATAAAGTTTTTGATGGGAGGTTGGCACTGGGGGGGGGGGGGGGGGGGGGGGGGGGGGGGGGGGGGGGGGGGGGG